AAAAATACTTTAACATCAAAATCACCTACAAATATTCCTCCACTTCCATATGCTGGGCAATTTCAGTTTAGAGTGACTAAGTCTTCTTTATCTCTGTATCTTCAGCACCTAGCACATAGTAGGCACTCATCAGCTATTGCTGAATAAAGGAAAAAACCTTCATCTGACCAAGGATAAATTTCTCTAAAATTGACTATAATAAAATCTTTATGGGGCCCCACATGGAAACTACATGAACTTCACTTCCCCACATACTTGACAGCCTCTGTACTTCCTTAGTTTCATTTCTTTAAATATACTTTAAAAATTGCTTATTTACACAATAAAAGCAATGTCCACCATTAAAAAAAAAAAAAGTCTCTAGTTTAGAACTATCGGAATTAGTCTCAGAATAACACATCTCACTGGATTTGATGAGATCATTCTCAGATTGTTCTGTGGAATCTCCCAATTCCAGTAATGATGCTTGCAGTATCCTTTAGCTGTCTATCAGTTCTTCTGGTCTTTATTCAGGCCCAAAGAGAGAAGAAAGAAGTAGACTAAGATAAAATGGGTAGTTTGTGTATTCATGTAGTGAATATATTCAAGACACAAATATGAGACAGAAAGGTCACTTCTGCAACAAACTAAGTCTGATCAGAGTTAAGTTAGCTTCTCTCTCTGAGCCTTGATTTTTCTCATCTCTATGACAGATTCATCCTAGAAGCTCTCTGGTCCTTTTTAACTTCAATGTTCTATGATTGGTTCTCATTTAATAGATGCACAAACTGAAACACTCACTAATCATACATTTTGCTGGAGGTTGATCAATCCTTAGCAAATCAGGAAGAAATGAATGTTCCACTTACTTCATGCAGAAGCTCAGAAAGCTGGGCTCTAAAGACCCAAGTTTGTTGTTGTTGTTTTGCCTGAAACAATGTATGTAATTTAATAATTTAAATAGTGTTTAGTTTAATTAAATAGTGTCTGGTTTAATGCTATATAACATTTTCAACTGAGGCTGCACACCAGAATCACCCAGTGAACTTTATTTTACTGCTGCTTGAGTCCCACCCTCAGAGGTTCCCTTTAATTGATCTGTGTGCAGCCTGGGCATGGGGACGTTTACAAGCTCTCCCGATGATTCTAACCTGAGCAAAGGGAATGATGATAGGCACAGAGCAATGAATCTCAAACTTTAGCAGGAATCAGTCACCTGGAAGGATTACTAAAACACAGATTGCCAGATGCCACCCTCAGAGTTTTTGATTCACTAGGTCTGGGACTTTTTTTTTTCTTTTCTGGGAAATTGCTTTTTTTTCTTTTCTTTTCTTTTCTTTTTGAGACAAGATCTCACTCCATTGCTCAGGCTAGAATGAAGTGGTGCAATCACGGCTCACTGCAGTCTCAATCTCCTGGGCTCAAGCAGTCCTCCCGTGTAGCTGGGCCTACAGGTGTGCACCACTAATTTGTTTGACTTTCAGTAAAGACAGGGTTTCACCACGTTGTGCAGGCTGGTCTCAAACTCCTGAGCTCAAGTGACCCGCCTAGGCAGGGTGCTGGGATTACAGGCATGAGCCACCATGCCCAGCCTATGAACTTGCTTTTCTAACAAGTTCCCCAGTAATGCTGATGCTTTTGTCAGGACCCTGCTTTGAGAACCACTTCCAGTGACAGAATATCATTGATGCTGGCATCTGAAGTCCTGAGTTTTAATCCTGATTCTATTATTCCCACCTATGGAATCCTAGTCAAGTAATTTTTTCTCTCATTTTTAGTCTCTTTCTGACAATACTTAGATCCCAGAATTGTAAGGCATGAAATAATGTACCAATCAGAGTTTGGTACAGTCCCTGGCATAGAACACAATAACAAATATTAACTGCCTTTTTCCATTATACATGGCTACATGGAACAATTAAGTTAAATCAAGAACACGTAAGTTGAAACTTCACAGGAAAACAAAGTACAGATAGTCAAAGCAAACAATATCTTATAATTATACATGTAATACAGAATTATAAATATAGAGAAATGTTTTAAGTACTTAAAAATACCTTTGTTCAATTTTCAAAACTTTGAACGTAATAATTTAGGTAGTAGGAACATCAGATACAATCTGTAGAAGAAATATTAGACTCAATCTATGAAGAACATGAATTTTTTTACAACCTATAATGGATTCTGATACCTCATCTATAATTTTAGTTTTCTATAGAATCAATAATATAATTAGTGTACCTGCTTAAAACTGTATTACATTGATCTTAAATGCTATTTAATTTCTAAGAAAACCTAAGTTATAAGAGTACATCAGAATCCCTATTATCAAGCAAAGCAAAACTTCTACCAATGACAGGAGAGGATGAATACTTTTTAAACAAATTTACATATACCAACAAGCAAAAAACTAGAGCTTTCATTCCTGCTTGACATTTTTTTCACTTTGTGCGTCTCAAGGTTCTCTCAGGAATTAGTGTCCAAACCATGAGGTGAATCCTAGGAGGTAAGCAGGCTTGCTGTAGAAGCCACTGTACATACCTTCAGAAACAGGAAGGGTACCAGAGGCTGTGCCCTCCTAGTGTGGCTGGTTGGAGTGACAACTGGAATACTGTCTGTGTTTTTCTGGGGAACCTACAATGAGTCCAGTTGTCTAAGTGAGTCTCATAGGTATTAAAAAATTGATGTCAAAAGGCACTTTATGTCAGGACTGTTTAAAGCAAGTTTCTCCCTATACCAATAGTGACCCAGAGGCAAGGTCTTACTGGACCTTTTATTTTTAAAAGCCTTCCCTTTCCAGTCTAGCCTGATGCCATTATGTGACATCTTTTCTCACTTGCTGTTTTTTGAGACAGAGTAACCCTCTGTCACCCAGGCTGGAGTGCAGTGGCATGATCTCGGCTCACTGCAAGCTCGCCTCCCGGGTTCACGCAATTCTCCTGCCTCAGCCTCCAGAGTAGCTGGGACTACAGGCACCCGCCACCACGCCTGGCTAATATTTTTTGTATTTTTACTAGAGATGGGGTTTCACCATGTTAACCAGGATGGTCTCGATCTCCTGACTTTGTGATCCGCCCGCCTCGGCCTCCCAAAGTGCTGGGATTACAGGCGTGAAAATGTGATGATTATCTGCATATTTTCTTTGTTGCTGCATCGTGTTTTGCATGGTACCCCTTTAATATTGTTTTCAACACTTAGCCTGCTGATATACTTTTAACTTCTCACCTGTTTATGAATTCTCTCAACTAAGCTGTGAGCTCCTTAAGGGTCTTTAACTTGTCCCTTTCCTCCACATAACTTTCTCAAATGCCCCAGTTCTCAGTAACTTTTCTCTTTTGCGGTCTGTAATATAAACATGACCCCTACTTACACTGTCCTACCTATGTGGCTAATAAGAGTGTTCTCTTTGCAGTTGGAACCCAAAACCCCTATGGGATGGAGGATATGCACAGTACTTCTTTGTAAAAGTGTCTTGACAAAGCTGATGTCCAATCAACATTTGTTTAATTACTAGACTGTTCAAGCTAGAAATGAAATACAATTGATTGCCTGAGTCCTGATAATCTTGCTGTCAAAATTATATAAGGCCTATAGTATGGCCAATATATTTGGTTAATGGAAATGATTTTCTTAAAACTAGAAAATTCAGCTACCCACAGTGCTTAAAACCAGCCTTAAAAGAACATTAACAGGATGGTTCCCACCTTATTGATATCACTGGCATTCTGTAGTATCCATTCATTCATATCTTCCTCCTAGGCCGCATGAAATACCTACCACATTTCCCTACCTCCTAAAGCAAACAAAACTCTTTTCCTCCCTCTTGCTGCAAAAAGGTTGATTAATTAAAAACCGTATGTAGTGTATAAAGCCTTTCAAAAATACTAGCAATCCATGCCCCCCCCTTTTTTTTTTTTTGAGATGGAGTAGCCATCTCAAAAGCAGTGGTGTGATCTTGGCTCACTGCAACCTCCGTCTCCCAGGTCCTGGTTCAAGCAGTTCTCCTGCCTCAGCCTCCTGAGTAGCTGGCATTATAGGAATGCGCCACCATGTCCAGGTAATTTTTGTATTTTCAGTAGACATGGGGTTTCACCATGTTGGCCAGGCTGGTCTTGAACTCCTGACCTTGTGATCTGCCTACCTTAGCATCCCAAAGTGCTGAGATTACAGGTGTGAGCCGCTGCACCCGGCCTCATTTTAACTAAATATGAAGCAGAGTTGATGTGATGCCCATCCTGCCAGGGAGGCAGCTCCTTCCCTCAGGTTTGTTTGGTACTAGAACCAAAAAGATAGCCTGAGAGGGTTCAGGCGCCACCTCGGAGGCACTATCCTATCTTCTGTCCTTTTGGAGTTTTCGTGCTGGGGTGTTTGGCCCCAGCACCATAGCCCTTACCACAATCATTCCACTGTTCTTCAACAGGACTGTGAGGTATCAACAAATTCACTAGGGCAGCCCAGAGATTGGTACAATTTACCTTTACACCTCACAGTTTCTTAGATGTGAGCAGCGCTGGATTATGGCAATCTACCTTATAATAACCCACCATAGTTGGTTGTTATAAGAAGAAATATTGTTCTTCTAAGATTTTTAATTAGTTGCTTCAGTTACTACATTTTTTTTCTATTTTTTTTTAAATAGATATGAGGTTTTGCTATGTTGCCCAGGTTGGTCTCGAACTCCTGGACTCAAGCAATCTCCCACTTCATGCTACCAAAGTGCTGGGATTTACAGGTGTGAGCCACCTCTCCCAGTCTCAGTCATTATTTTAATAAATGAGACTGAACGTCCTCTTATAAGGCTCACTCTGTTGCTCCTACTACATTTGCTCTTTAAGTATCTCTTTAAATTCTTCAATTAAGATCATCCCTTTTATCAGAAACTTAGACACCACAAAGTAGCTTTCTCACCTTTAATTCTCCATAGGTATCACTATACTATAATATTTACATATGTATGTGTATATGTGTATTTGCTTTTTTAAAAAAGTAAAAATGTTCTTCTTACTCTCCTTTGTCTGATATAGGCACCCAGGTATGTAATTAGAAATTAAATAAAGGCCACAATAATTTCCCAAGGAAGATCATTAAAAAGAAAAATCCTTTCTTCCTCTAATATCACACAGCTGGTCTTTATGGCATGCCAGCTAAGAAAAATGATATTGCCTATGGTGACACGAAGACTCAATCTTTCTCTCTTTGGGTTGTAGCTGAATTTCTATCGAAAGTCCTAGTAAAATATGTAACTCATTTGTTCTAAGCAAGTCTTTTCTTCAGTTTTCCTTCAAACAATACCTTTACTTTCCCATTAGAATACGAAGAATTGGAGATTCTGAACAGCAAGGTTTGGGGTGGGTATCAGTCACTTCAAATCTGGCTATGCAGACAGTGAAAGACATGGCAGAATAGCAGGGATGGAGGATGAGTGAAATGTATCTTCATTGGGAGTACTGAAAGAGAGCAAGTTTTTCAAAGTTGTTGCCGGTATCTCATGAAAACCCAGGCTGCTACCATGGTAAGGGCAAACACTGGCACCAGCACCATAAATATGGGAATACCACTTGGGTCCCCTTCACCTCGATGTCCTATAGGTCCATTCTGCACCTGTAACTGGAAGGGAAAGAAAAATGTTAACTCTGGTGACTAATGTGTGTTTACAACTGAAACTCCCAGGTTGATACATCACCTGGGTTTGTAGACTCTAGACCACCCAAAACTGTAACCCCCAGCAATACCTAGCAGGAGTCCTCTCTTTGTCCTGAGCTGATTCATCAGTGTCACAGGATCTTTGGAAAGAAAATAGGTCTGATGGGGAGGCATTTAACCTTGCTGACCTAAAGGGACCCCTGAAGGCAAGTCAGGTAATTTCTGTTTCTGTACTGCCTCTACCTTGCTATTTGTATATCGTATCAGGAAAATGAAGACATGAGATAAAACCTATGATCTTATAGAGAACTTGGATATTACTTGGTGAGGAAGACGGGGGATCTTTCTGGAAATGTTTACTTAGATAATCAGTCATCAAAATGTAGCAAGAGCAGACGTGGGCAATGTCAACATAGGTGCAATACCAACACAGGTCCAGTGCCATTACTTGAAAAATGCTTTCCAAATCCCAGAAGGCACCCAACTCCCTCCAAAGATGGGGTTTTGCCCTTCCTCTGTTCATTGGTAATACTAGAGAGAGATGAAGGTGAATCTATATGGAACAGATGTAAAAAAGTAAAAAGAAATTATATCCTGGTGGTTATAATTTTCTATTGGCTAAGTGTTTCCTTTTGAGGCTGGATGGTCTTCATTTTAGTGATGGTTTTCAGGGTAGCTCTTCTTAATATCAACTTTTAGTGGCTAAGTTGCAATAATTATGGCACCATCGTATTTCAGTTAGAGTTAACTTCCTCATTACACTCATAAAACTGACACTTCAATCTGAAAGGCAAGACTGCACGAAATACCATTATACCCTCTATTCCACCTCTACGTTTTTCATTCATTTGCTGATGAGCTGTCCTGAAAGAACATGCTCAATAGGAAGGCATGGTTTTTAGGGATAGGACAATTCCCTGAACAGCAGGGTCCTTTTTATTAGGAATTATTTATGGATGTTTCCTTACAAGTGAACACTGGAAATAACTTCTCACATACCTTCCAAAAGAATTGTAATCATATTGAAGTGTGTGCCTATATTTACTTGTTCTTATCTACTGCACAAATGCTCCCATGCTTTAGAAAGAGAAGAGCCAAGGCAGAAGCAACTGACGACCAATATTATCTCTTATTAATCTGTTTTCTAATCCATTACACCCAGATTCTGCTTGCAACTGGTTGTTTTCTCAGGTATCTCTCACGTTCTGCCTTCCCTACTTTTTTAGGAACTCCTCTAAATCTTCTTAAGCTTCTAAATCCTTAGCCACTGAGTAAGGAAAAGAGTGCACCTATAAGTAGCAAACGGATTTAATTTAAAGGCACATGGAACCTGTTTTGTGAATACACTCAGAAATTCTCAATGCTATAGGAGGAATTATACCTACCCAGGCTTCCCTTTATATCATCATCCAAATTATAAAACACTAGGAAATAAGAAACAGATGCAGGGATAGGTGCTGCCTTGACTGAATTCTGAATTCCATTTCCTTTTTCCTGGAGTTCTCCTATGAACACTGAAGATTTGGTTAAGAGGGTCACCAAGTTGATAAATGAAGGGTTCATGGCAGTGACAGGGAAAAGCATATAGTGGGTACCAGAAAACCCACCATCTTTGTAGTGTTTTATCAAATGGTTTTATAAATAAGTTTTCAATGATAGACATATGGTTCCTTCCCTACCAAAAAGTAAAATCGGCTGGTTTTTTAACCTTATTTATTTTCCATTTGTCCATGTGACTCTTAAAATCTTTTCTTTATTTTTATAATTATTATTATTATTTTAAGAGATGAGGTCTCTCTATGTTGCCCAGGCTGGTCTTGAACTCCTGGGCTCAAGCAATCATCCCACCTTGGCCTCCCAAAGTGCTGAGAGTACAGATGTGAGTCACTACACCTGGCTTTTCATTTAACCATCTATTTTAATTTGGTTGTCAAGCTTTATCTTTAAGGCATATTACCTTGAAGCAAGGACCTCGGTTATAAGCCCTACTGTTGTGAATTTCTCCTTTTTTTTCTTTTCTTTTCTATTTCTTTTTTTAGACAGGGTCTCATTCTCCTGCCCAGGCTGGAGTATAGTGGTATGATCTTGGCTCACTGCAACCTCCACCTTCTGGGCTCAAGCAATCCTCACATCTTAGCCTCCCAAGTAGCTGAGACTACAGGTGTGCACCACTGTGCCTGAATTTTTTGTATTTTTAGTAGAGACGAGGTTTTGCTATATGGGCCAGGCTGGTATCGAACTCCTGGGCTGAAGTGATCTGCCCACCTTGGCCTCTCAAAGTGTTGGGATTACAGATGTGAGCCACTGTGCCTGGCCTGAATGTCCTTCAATGATAAGCAGAAGTACCAATGGATCCTTCCCTTTGCCTGAGAAACTCTTCAGGGGAATGAGTGTAAAACGAACAAACAAAAAGCAACACTGAAGATTACACACATTGGGTTTATTCAAAGTACAGTGCGAAAGCCTGGTGCCAGGTTTCTGGCTCGAGGTGATACCTACCCTGTGCTGCACTCTCAGAGACACAGCATAACCTGCATTACGAAAGAGGTCTACGGCATCCTGGTGCAGCAGGTTCTTTAGGTCTTGGCCATTTACCTGTCAAAACAGCAAAAAAGAGTAATAAGAAAGGAAGAAGGCTATTACAAGCCAACAATTTATTTTCAAATGGCCAAACTTTAAATAGCAAACTCATTCAGAGCAAATTGCAAGGACTAGAAGTATGGGCAAAGTTACTTAGAGCTCAGAACTTAGAACTTTTTTCATTTTCAAAACTACATTTTCCTAGAACTGAAGTTCCACAGGCCGTCTGAAGAGAACCTAGGTAAAATTAAAAGTGGTTTCTCCTTCCTCTTAGCTTCTATGCTTGCCTCGTTTTGACACTTGGGAATCTGTTACTGTATTAGTATGTCTTCCATGAGCATTAACCTGCTTCCTTACAGACAGCATGTTCTTCCAGGTTACCACCCTATCCTTTATATTCCTAAGCCCTGGCATTGCCAGCTGCAACTGTAAAAATATAACTCTATGAAACTCTCCACCAATTTATTTTGATGTGGTATAAATCTATAGTAGCCCATTCTACTGGGCTTTTCATAGTGAACAACTTCCCGTGATTCCACGGATACTCCTATCCATTACATCCAAATTACTGAATTAGTCATTTTTTAATCAAAATTTAGTAAAAACCATATTCCTGTGATGATATAAATCCTTAAAAAAATTTCAATGTAGGTCACTCCTACCACTTAGAGGTGAGAGATGTGAAGGAATACTTGTATTAATACTTTTTGCTGTTAGGAGTGACATCGGTCACATGTAATAATCTATCCTATGCTGTATTCAGTGGCACAGCAAGATTACATATCTTTTATACATGTCAATGTCATCGTTAGCAGCAGCAGCGACAAGAACATCTGATATATTTATTTTGACAGGTTCTGTACTTTACATACATTATCTCATTTAATTCTCATGCTAACCCTATGAGGCAGACATTATTTTTATCTTGTTTCCACAGATGAAGAAACTTCAAACTCAGTGAGATTCATGCTGGAGCTAGGGCTAGGATTTGTAAATAATGAAAGAAAGATCAAAGTGCCCTTGCATTTCACTGTTCTTCTGTACTACTATTCTTCCATCTTGACTCACCAACTATCCTCTGCTCAGCTAATGCTCAAGTCACTCACTTATTCAACTCTCTCATTTTCCTTGTCACAATCTTCCTTCTCCAAGGCATTCATAATCTTCCCTCTACTCTCTCTCTTGCCAATACACTTGGTGAATGAATCTACCAACACTTCTGCCCTACAGACTGTCTATCTTTGTAAACCAATAGTTTCCAACTCCATTTCACTTCAGTCACCAATTGACGTAAACTTAGACTTCAATATTAGACATGCGTCAGCTCCAATATCTCAAACTCTTAAAAACCTGACAGCAATTTCCACTCTTTTCACATTTTCTATTCATCTACTGAATTTCCTCCTTGTAACCTTTTTAGACTTCACTTGCATCCTTGCCCATCTAGAAGTTCCTGTTGTAATTTCAACAAAATACTTGGTAAATCATTAGAATCCTTTGTCCTCATGATCTTCTGCCATCTTTCCAGTCCTGGGCCATATTCTGCAATACTTTTCTTGCCATCATTGAGTTGAATATTCTGGGAAAAAGATATATTCTCATTCTCCACCATACACCCATGCTAGCTGACTCCAGCTCATCCTTAAAACCCCTTTTACTCATTTACTGAACTCCTTAATAAACATGCAGTGATGGCTGTTCCAGACCTTTTTCCACCACCATCTCCAACCCCAGTTCTACCTCTCTCCCTAGCTAATTCCCTTATCTTTTGTGAGAACACTGAGGACTTCTGATAAATGCTTTCTACATTTTCTTTCCTTCTCCCTCAAAGCTTGTTTACATCTTCTCACTACTCCTTTCCCCTAGTCTCTGAATTAGATCTATTTCCTTTTCAAGGTGAAACCATCCATTGATGATCCTGATCACACTTCTTGTAGCCTCCTTACAAAACTCACGCAGACACTCTGTCCTTTTGATTACTTAATTATTATCTTTCTCTGCTCGTTCTCTCAACTAAAATTATATACCTTTATAAAGAAAACAAAACAACTATTTCTTGGAACCCATTATCACTCTCTTCCCATCTTCTTTCCTCTTTCTTTGACTGCAAAATTTGTTGAAAGAACAGTTTGCATGCACTACCTCTATTTCTTCAGCATTCATTCTCTATTCTCCTGTAATCTCACAATATATGAGGTAGAAGGGAAGAACATGTTTTTCTAAAGGTCACCAATGACTTCCAATCACCAAATCCTATAGTCCTTTTTGTCTTCAGACCACCTCCTCCCTTTTGTAATTTTCTCCTATCTTGGCATATGAACACTTAGCGTTCTTAGTTCTTAAATTATTCCTTTCTGGATTTCCTCTCCCCTTTCTTTCTCCTGAAGGTGAGTCAGCGTTGTTCAGTGTCAATCCTCAATCTTCTTTCTTTCTCTCCCACCGTGAGCTTTAACAATTTCAACGATAATCTGTAAGATAACTCTCAGATTTGTATCCCTACTTGTACTTCTGGATTTGCCAGTTACTTGCTGGATGTCTATACCTGTATACTCTGCTAGACCCTAATTCCACATATCCAAAACCTCTTTATTACTTTCCACAAAAATCAGACTACATACCTGGCTTCTTATTGCCACTATCATTCCTTCAAACTTTTTTTTTTTTGAGACAGAGTCTTGCTCTGTCACTCAGGCTGTCACAGTGGTGTGATCATGACTGACTGGAGACTTGAACTCCTGGGATCAAGTGATTCTCCTGCCTCAGCCTCCCAAAGTGCTGGGATTATAGGTGTGAGACATTGTACCCAGCCCAGGCTAAAATTTTGATAATAGTTTTAAATTGTCTCTCTGCTGTCAACCGTCATATACAATAGATGGCCAAACTACATAGTCTAACACCATGACATCTCTCATAAAGTATTTTCTTGCCTATTTTAGACTGTTGACACTAAAAATAAAATAAAAACTTGGGTCCCCAGTCCACTACTTCAAAAGAAAAAAAATTAAGCTGCAAGCTGAGTCATGCAATAAACTGCTTTTCCTTTTGTTCCTAAGCAGATAGCTACAGATAACAGGTTAAATATCTCCACAGGTAATTACTCTACGTTCACCTTATCTTATGTAAAGTCCCAACTTACTAAGCAAAAGAAAATACATAATTGACTATTCCCTTGCTTGCTCCTTTCCTCTGGCAACATGTGGATTACCACACCTTCCCTCTTTGCTCTTCAGCCTACTTTTCCCCTTTAAACATTAAAGCCCTCAAAATCATCTTTGGAGAAAGGTACATACCTGTCTCCTAGACGTGTCCTTAACCTTGGCAAAAGAAACTTCAATCAATTTAGAAGACTCTTGGTTTAAAATACTCTTGGTTGAACTACTGTGATCACTTCTCTCTGATTTACTTTTCTCTAGGTTCGAACCGATTCAAATACTAGGTCTCCAGATTAATCTTCCCAAAGTACAATTCTGTTAGTACCACTTTACTGCTCAAAAAACAAAAACAAAATTGGGGAGCAAGGAAAGAGTACATACCTCATTTCTTATGCTGATATGGAGAGTCTTCTGGGAAATGGCTCTAACCTATCTTCTCAGGTTAATCTCTATTTCTTTTACTATATCCTATACTCTGGCTAAGTCACATAACTCACTGACTGGGACATAAAACATATGTTTTATCTTTATACCTGTGCTCAAACTGTATCTACCACCTAGATGCCTTTCCCTTTTGAAAAATTCTATTTATCTTCCAAGATTGATCTTTAAAAAGGATCAGTCCTGCTACCTACAGTGTAGAAATGAATACAGTTTTCTAGTTGGGGGTCTTTAATTTCATGTTATGCCTTGGTTTTCTTGGTAGCTATGCTGTAGGGAAAGAACTTTAGAATTTCTATAACTATCACAATGAATTCTCAATGACTCAATTTTCTAGTTATCTCCTGGGAGACAGAATAGGTGTGAGATTGCTGACCGTCATGAGAATGCTCACTTAAGTAATCTAGCCCATGTGATAGCTGTATTTCTCATTATAAAGAAATAAGTATTTTCTTTAGAGGCAGACAAGTAAGTTAATGATGCAGTCATGTCAATGAATGCCAAATGATGTCACAGCTCAATATCAGAGCCAAGGTTTCATAGTAGTATAAATGCAAATGACATAATTGGGTCACCACATTAAATGGTAGAAATACTGGGCTTAAAATAATCTTTGCCATAGTAGTCAGTAATAATTGCAGAGAATTATTGAACATAACCATGTCTGGAGCTGTCTGTTCATCTTACATGTATTAACTCATTCAGTCTTCACAATGGCTCTGTAAGTTAGGAACTCCTATTTTATAAGTGATAAAACTGAAGTATAGAGAGGCTATCAATTTATCTATGGGCAAACACAATGAAAGCAGCAAAGCCAAGGATTCAAACTCAAGCAGGCTGGCCCAAAAGCCTTCACTTTAAAACACTAACCTATATTAATTTACATGGCAAGCAAGGATTTTATTTTAGCAACATATTACTGCCTATCACATATATGTTGTAAATTAAATTTTTATTGGTTTTGCCATTTAGTTTGTATTTAATGTTAGACATTTTTAAAATGTTAGAGTTGAGGCCAGGTATGGTGGCTCACACCTGTAATTCCAACACTTTGGGAGGCCAAGGCGGGCAAATCACGAGGTCAAAAGTTCGAAACCAGCCTGACCAATATGGTGAAACCTCGCCTCTACTAAAAATACAAAAATAAGCCAGGCATGGTGGCACACACCTGTAGTCCCAGCTACTTGGGAGGCTGAGGCAGAAGAATCACTTGAACCAGGGAGGCGGAGGTTGCAGTGAGCCGAGATTTTGCCACTGCACTCCAGCCTGGGCGACAGAGCAAGACTCTGTCTCAAAAAGAAAAAGAAAAAGAAAAAAAGTTAGAGTTGAATAAAAACATACTGTTCATTTGTATATACTGAAGTAGCATTAAAATTAAAAAAAAATTTAGTTAGGTGCCACTTCATTGACAAGGCCTTTCTA